AGGTATCTCAAAAGAGCATAGAAGCCAAGTAGGACTATATATTTTCCTTATCTCAATTTTTGCACATAAAGCTCGAATGGCAGCTATCTTCTGCTTCTACCCTTTCCAGCATCCATAGGCCGATGGTTGAATTTAAAGGTCACGTATTACACGGATCAATGAAATGTTTTACACGAGGGAAGATTTTGTGACGATCGATGGCGGCCTTTGTTTCGATTCAAAGCTAATGCATCGTGCATCGTGCAGATTAAATGTAGTAGAGTAGAGACCGGGAGTAGTCGGTTCGATCAGGAATTGTGCAAGAATTTGTTGAACGAAACAAAATTTTAAAAGAAAATGTTGCTTATTTACAATCAAACAAGTATCCAACGAGTATTAATAAATAATGAAAAATTATTTTGCTTGTATAGAAAAAAGTAATTAAAAATTATCACAATTATGACAAACGTACATATCATTTCTTGATTCATGCATTCAATGTTAGCTATTTCCTTATTTTGATAAACAGGCAAAAAAAAAAGGCGATAATATTCTTTATCGAATTTTTTCTATCGATTAAAAGATTACAAACGATTCTGAATGTGTCATCGTCAATTGTAAATTTCAATTAACGACTGCTAATTAATTAAACACTGTTAAGTAACTATCAATTACTTAAAAAAAGAAAGAAAGATTAGATTAAAAAATAGAAAAGACAATTATTCACTGCTAGTGTTTAAATCGGTAAGGAAAAAGTTATATTTATAATTAGCTCAAATTTCATTTTTCATCATATTCAAAATTTGCATTAAAATAAATATTCTTCACCAAGACTATTTTGAGATATTTATAATAACAAGTTGCTATAATCCTCCTATCATCTGCCATATCGCATCGACAACAATAATTTCGAACGATGCACTCAAACTGGATGATAAATTATTCGATTACTCCCGTTGGAAGTAATATAGATACTCGATACATTTTGGTTGGTAACAGTGGTATATCGTGTTACTATAGTACAGTTAACTGGTTAAACATCCTGCAAACTGCAAGGTGTTTACTGATAACGGAATATTCTATGAAACCACTTAAACTCGTTTAAGAAATTATTGAAGGAACGAAGACACGGTACGTTAATCAATTACATTGATTATATATATATATATATGTAATAGTCCATTTTAGAATTTGAACATGATAAAAGTATAATTCGTATAAACTCATATCCTATTCGAGGCGCAATTAATATTATTTAATTATTTTTACAAAAGATGTTCAAAATGATTATTTTGAATTTCAAGATTGAAGTGATATATATCAATTATACATGTATATGTTAAGTGTATTCGTTTAAAAATTGCTTAGCTTCTAAAATGTATAATGCTCGTGAAGCATTATTACGCGTATATAAAATCAAATTATAAACTGTTCTTGAAACTTTTCCCCTGTTCCAGTCTGTTTATATTCAAAATTCCATACATGTGATAGACAACGAATCACATAAAGTGAAGTTCAATAAATTTTCAATATTTTCATAAATACACGAGATAAAATAAATATATACAACGTTAGAGATTTCATTTACTTTCATCGAAATTTTCGGATTAGAATCCCCTTTTCACATACACCCATTCACAAACTTTTCCCCCGTTGTTTACGAATTTCACACCCTGAGTGTATCGAGAGAAGCAATTAGAAAAGTTAGGTGGAAATTCCGGATAACGTTAGGCGGAAGTAGCCGGTGCCAACAGCTTGATTCAAAGTGGCGGATGCCAGATTCTATTGTCTTTCCGGAAAGATGAGCCGGGGAAGGCCGTCCTCTCATGCATCTCACGCCTGCGGCAAGAAGCGCCTCCTATCCTTCTCTCGTGCTTAACACCCTGGTCATGCATAATACAACGTGTGCGCACATGTCTGAAGAAGACAAGGGCACACCGGACGCGAACTGGCGTACACGTTGACATTGCCGTGAGAACGTCAAGATTCGTGCGAAACACGAATGCCTGAGGATAAATATAAACGTTTAGCTATTTTAATTGGGCTAGAAATATGATTACAAGGGCGGAGAAGAACGAGCCTCGCCTCTGGGAAAAGTTGGCCAACTTCCTTTTCAATCCAGACGATCCCAATCTACGCAATGCACTTACCTTTACTTACGATTTCAAAGTTTGTTAACAGGAGAGGGCGTTCTCGACGTTTTTAATTAATCGAAGAATACGCAGAAGAAATGTTGTTCCAGTTATTTGAGTCGAGCTGTGCTTATTTTTACTCGAGAATTTATCTTTCAAATTCTTTCTCTTACTTTAACGAAAGCACGAGGTTGAAAGAGGTTACTTACGTCGTGAGATTTCGATGCTTGTTGCAACAGAATTGTGTTTCCTTTGAATTAATTAGTTATCTAATGAATGTTGTTGTAAATATTTATTAGATCTCGTCTGTATCCAAGTTTTTCTCTTATTTTTAGAGTTGTCTCGTACTAGTTCGAGACAAAAAAAAAAATACAAATGAATATAAATATTTATCTTGCGATCCCAATGTTTGCTAACAGGGTTATAGAGAAGAGTCTTTACACAAGAGATCCTCGTTCTTTGAAAAGGTGACTTTAGTTACACAAGAGAATGCATATTCGATATATAGTTGGATTGTTTATTCAAGAATGATTCTTTTTCTCTCTCTCTCTCTCTCTCTTCTTTTTTCAGAATTTTTAACGACAGTTTCACGCTACCTCTGTAAACGTAGAAATAGGTATAAATATTTGATAGGTATACATAGAGTGAGTAGCCCGTATGTTTGACAGTTGGTTGCAAGGCAACATTTTTGCAAAATAATGATAATATAGATAGTGGCCTCGCTGATATAACTTTTAATTTTGCGTCGAATTTTATTGAAAATTTTTTCCATCGATTATCTCAGATAGCAGCAAACTTTTTTATGAAAAATATATTTGTACATTTTGTACGAATTTTATTGCACACATTCTTTACATAAATATGCATTATTTGTTATATATATTTAATATAATATAAGTCATGTAATTGAATTCATTAATATTTTAAAAATACTAAGGAATATATCGAAAGATATATCGAAATTCTATATTGTTTTATTTTTATCGTCTTTGGGATGCTATTGCAAATGGCGACAAGTTAATTTTTTCGTACGAACGAAGAAACGAGGATGAAAAATACTGAAAAGTTCTACAATTTTGACAAGTCAAGTATGCTATAGAATTCAAAAATATATAAGTGATAATTCTAAAGGTTGAAACAATAATTCTTTAAATTCTTGCAAATATATTTTAGAAATAATTTCTTTATCAATTGTATCAAATATATATCACATTAAAAGAGAATACTTGTAAAAAGGGAATAAATCAAAAAGTTAATTGTTGTCATTGTCAAAAGTTTGAATAATTTGGACAATATTTTATACCTTTTATACGTATTATATAAATATTGATTTTCTTTTAAAACAATGTTTAAATTTTCATCACATTATATGCATTTAATTTAAAGTTGTAATTATTATTATTGTAGAAAATAATAATAAATTTCAATCAGTGTTTGAATATATATATATATATTCTATATTCTATATTTTTCACAACTTTTGTTATAATCAATTGTATTTTCATGAAATGTTAAATGAAATCTATAGAATGATGTCTTGTTAACATTTCAGGACATAAATTTAATAAAATTTCGCTACTTTTGACTATCTTTATTTATACTAGAATAAATACTTATAATAAAATGATATCTTTCAAATGTATGATACATAATATATAATATAACAAATTTATATATAATTCATAATTCTACATTATTTAAAAAAAAATGGATCATTATAAAATCAAAAAAAGGGAAGAGAATTATGTTTTGGATTAATGATTAAAAATTTATATGAAAAATACTTTTTGTTTGAATTGAAAATAATAGATTTTTCCCCTAACATTTGAACGCACTTTTATATTTCTATATTTCTTAAAGCTTCTATGAGAAGTGGCCTGCACGCGTGTAGGCCAATAGGCCAGTAGTCGATAGGATATTTAATTCAACCGGATATCCTATGCTGATCTTGATCGAGTTTTGCTTTTAGAGCAAGTTTGAACTTTTATGCGTTTCGCTTTCTCATTTAAATATCGTGCAGGAAACGCAATGAAATCCACCAGACCGAAGATATCACGTGTCTCACGGTATTGTGCGTTTGCACGAACGTTAATGTCCGTACAAAAATGTTCTCCGAGTATCGATATCCATTATTCATCCCACCTTTCGATCTGTTTTGCAAAATATTTCAGATATACAGAATACGAAATCGTTTTTGAAAATGAATGTTTTCGTTGCGTAATGTCCCTCGATTGAACAAGTTGTCATAAACACGAGCGATAATAGAAGAAAGTAGAAAAGATCAATTTTTCTGATAATGAATATTCGTAAGATGAAACAAGAAAAATTATTTAAATTTCTTTTGATAACAATTTGATTTTCTAAATAAAAATTATACTTTATTTTACTTATAAAATTTTCTAAAAATATTGAAATAACTTCTCTACATTTAATATGAGTTAAATTTCAAAAAGAATATTATTTATATAAAGATTGTTGTATCTATATTACATATCACGTTAAATGAGTTATATGTTATTTTTAATAATAAAATATTAATTTTTTTCATAATATCAATTAATATAAATCGTACATAATCATATCGTTCCCTTTCTCCTTTCTAACGAAGAAACCCTTTACGAAAAAAATTAAAATTTTTCCGCAAAAACAATCCATTTGATATCCCATTTCACTTCACTTTATTTCACCACGTATAAATGAGAATCAATACGTGTTCGGTAAGGTCGCGTGAAATTCCACTTGTCGGAAAGGTTGCTCAATTTCTTGCGGGGATTTTATCAATGCACCCGAACCGCCTAATTAAATAGCGCATTAATTCGTTGACTCCGCGAACAGGCACGAGTGCTCCCGATCCAGGGAGTCCTCCGGCCAATCACGCCTGCCGTCATTGACTCGGCCGCGCTTTAGGTCGAGTCGGCGTCGTCTCTCGGCCGGTCACCTCACCAGTCTTTCCCGAGACACCGCGTGCGCAGTGTCGCTCTCTGCGCTCTTGTTTTCCTCGCGGAGCGAACCAACTTTGTTTTGTTGTCCTCCTTGGAGACAACCGATTGGGAGGAGAAGGCGAATATACACGGCATACAGAAAAGAAAAAAAAGTATAATATCGTGTAATAGAAGAGATAGAATTAGAGAAACTTGAAACTGTGTGACGAAGAGTTAGGAATCACAAGTGAACGGTAACGAAACGGTGAATGTCGAGTGAGTGGTGACGAGATCTCTCGTGGACAAGGGGAGGGCCAGTGTGGTACGCGAAAACCGGTTGCGTTGAGAAGGTCAGTTACTTGATCCGGTGTCAAGAAACGCGCGAATTGAACGTTGCGTGGCGTCCGTTATTTTGATTCGTTTCATTTAACGAAAAGTAATCTCGCGTGAAATCTTCGAAGTTGTTGATTGTTACGCATCCTCGTTCGACGACGTACGAATCTCGTTCGAGGCGGCAAAGGCCAAGGTTGTCGTTTCGCGCGAGCTCTGGCAGAGAGACAGAGACGGAGAAAGAGAAAGGAAAGAAGAGGAAAGTATCTAGCACGTGGGCGAGCACGGAAGAGCAACCGGCCTCTGCGCGTCGTCGTTGACACAAAGAGTAGAGGGAAAGTGGGAAAGGTAAGTGTTATGTAACATTGAATGCGAGAATGTCGATTCAAGGGGAACTGGCATTACTATGCCTACTATGCCATATCTATGCATATTAGTGTTTTCTTTTTTTTTTTTTTTTTTTTTTCTCCCCTTTAGGACATGTTTGAAATGTCAAATCGATTCTACGATCCTTCTGTTAGGATAGTATTTTTCTTTTTCTTTCTATCTTTTTCGATTATCAGATCACAATGAAATTTCTATTTTTTTCTTTAATGGCAAAAAAAAAAAAAATATATAATGGTATAATAAAAGTTGATCATTTATGAAATCTCTTGTAATCATGTTGATCTACAATCAGGTACAAAGGATTGTTAATATTAGAAACTGAACGTGCGATGGATTATAAAGAATTAGAATTACTGTATACATTTATTATATTCAATTATGATAAAATCAAAAAAAGTTTTTATTCCAGACTGAGTTGAAAATTTCTTGTTTTATCCTCATTCTCATCGAAGCGTTCTCTAATCCGGATTCTTTTAGATTATTAATAATTAAATCTTGTTACATCTGAATCATTTCGAGAACAAAAATAGAAAAAAATTTTCATTTCTTAAAATCACAATTTTTATAAAATCAATATCTTTATAATTTGTTTTTTTGTTAGAATAAAAACAATTGATTTAACGAACGAAAACTTTTTTTTTTTTAGATTTCTTGCATCTCTCTTTTCTGATACAAAGAAAAAGACAAAATTTTTTTGAATACATAATATTTTAAAACGAACGTTTTTGACAGAAATTAAATTTTATTCTGTTAATAAAAATATGGAAATTGTACAAATTTTTATTGTTTTTTAAACAATTTTCAAACACCATTAACTTTCTGCTTAGTTTCAGAATCTGCATAAAATTATATATATATATATATATGTCATTATATGTGCATATTCTTAGAATCTAATAAGTGTAAAAAAATTAATTAGAGAATTAATGTGGTTAGAAAAAAATGTAAGGAAAGAAAAAAATTTATACATATGTATGTATGAATAATATTTTGACGACTTTGAAATTCTTCAATAAAAAAATCTGCATATAGCATTTATATTATTATTTTAATTATATAATAGTTATCGAAATTTAAATATAATAATACTGAAATTTGTCAAGAAAGCAAAAAATTGAAATTGCATTATTCGAAAACTGTTTGTTGTAATGTTGTAATCGTTAGAAAGTGAAATGTTTTTTCTCTGCAAAACAAAAAACACGTTACGAAACTGTTATGTATACTACGATTAATTAAAAAATATATATTTTTTTCACTTATAAACAGCTTGTTTCGAAGAAAAGTAATATGAAAGCTTGCTATGAAAAGAAATACGCAATGTAATAATTAATATATTGTTATTTTGTTCTTTTATAAAATATGAAAAAGATTTAATTTCAAATTTTTTAGTTATAATTACAGGGAATAATAAACGCTAAAACTATTAAAGTAAATGGGTTTAAAAAGTAAGATAACAATTGAATAAGAAACGTATATTTAAACGTATATTATTTGTTATTACTTATGAATCGATTATTCATTTTTTTTTTATGTTGGATAAGATTTTATTTTAAAGACTTTGTTATAAATTAAAAATTATTATATACTATTTTAATAATTTCTGAAAATTATTAATTTTTGGATCTTGGAATAATTTTTTATTTAGCTTTTTTTTTTACACTTGTTCTTTTCAATTGCAAGATATCAAATATTAAATGTATTGCAATTAAAAAACATAAAATGATCGTGATATCCATAAAAAATAAAATAATAAAAGATTAATTATTAGATTTTATCCTCTCTTCATTTCATAAAATTTTTCTTTTTTTTTTTGAAACGTTATTTTACATAACGAACAATTTACAAGTAATTAAGATGATAATGTTGAAAAATTATCAGATAAATTTTAACCATTTAAATATTAACTATTTTTTGATGCTTAATGATTAATGTTTTAAACTTTGAAATTTAACGTTAAAGTTGGCTTATATAATTATTCGAATATTTTAAATAACAACGAAATAATAAATAGTTAAAAATATTCGAATCATTATTTATTTATGATAAATAGAACAAAAAAAAATAAAAATTCATACAATTATTTTTTATCTAGCAGATAGTAAACGTATAATTGATGTACAATATGAATAATATAAAATAATATTATTTTGCAAATAATTATTTCTGAAATATGGCTTTAAACGAACGGAATGAATAAGAACAAATATTTCAAAATTTTTTAAGAACGTGAATGCCAATTAAACTCGGTTTTTCCGTAATTCGTCAATCAAATGCATGATCAAATATGAAGGCCACGTAACTGTAGATTTACATATTTATACATTTAAAGAAAAGGAAAAAGAAAATACAACTAAATTGAATCAAATATCCGGATTTTTTCCCTAATTTAATAATAATTAATTTATTCTACAATATTTAGTAACGATGAAAAAAAAATTTAATCAAACTTAGAATAATTTTTATTCTATTTTCTTAAATTTGAAGCAAAATCGAAAATAATGAAATTGACGAAAAGAAAGAGGAACGCAAATATTGGAACGGATTATCAGAATAACTTGACTGATTATGAGACTGTCATTTATTTCATCATTGATTTGTCGCATTAATACACTACGTGACAGTCGGTCGAAATGTCATAAATTGCAACGCCCCTCTGAAATGTCACGATATCGTATAATACACGTGATAATTTATCATCGAGTGAAAAGAGCACTTACGTTAGAAAATGTTGTACATCGGAAATTTCGTTAAAAAAATTTTCTAACGTGTTAGAAAACAATTAATTAATTAACAACGTGATTGGTATATATTTGCTACACTGATTGATCGTATCCAATTTTAATATTACGTATATGAGAAATGAAATTCCACAAGGTGGTTGTAAAAATTGGCGAAAATTTCTATTCTTGAATTTGTGTTTAATAATTTTTATATAATCGCGAATTCATTTTCTCATGATATATTTACTATAGAATTGCGAAACTTTATAATCTGGAAACTTTCGAAACTCTTGAAATTTAAAAACTTGAAATGCTTGTTTTCTCTAAGGTGTCTATTTTATCAAGAAGTAAAATTTCAATAGAATTAGACTTCTGGAAGTTTTCAAACACATTTTTTCATCTAGTCATTTTTTCGATTTGCAAAAAATTTTGTGTATTGTAATAAATTCGTGAAATTCA